TTGCCACGCCCCAAATCCCAACGCCACCCACACGTACTTCACCATCGCACCCACTTCCCCCCTTCTGGCCTCACCTTCCCTTTTTCGTACTTACTTATACATATATTTTTATCTTCTACGTGCAGCAATGGACCCAAGGCGAAATTTAAATAGAAATAGCATGTTGATGTTATTTGGAGTAGGTTCATATTTAATTTAATATGCGAGTCTCTTCCTTTGCTTCGTCGCTTCGAGAAAGAGTGTGTGTATAAATATTTTAATTTGTTTGTAGGGGGAAAAACAGGGAAGGGAAACTAAACTAACTTAACACATAAATATGTTTAAAAAAATGATGAAATTAATTAAAAAGCAAATCAAAGTTGAAAATTGTATTTAATGGATTATCATTGCAATTAAAAAGATTAATGATGTTGAATATAAATAATATAAGGCTTAAAATTCATTAAAAAAGTATTAAAGCTTGTCAAGCACTATTTAATTTTCATGATTTATGACTTTAAATAACTAAAAAAAATATAATTTAATCAATTTACAGAGAAGGCATACAATAGATCACTTTAAATTAGCCTGAAAAACTATCTAAAAAACTTTTTCAGTTTTTCCCTAATAAAAAATAATTGAAAAATCTTTTATATAGACAATAAAAATTAAATTAAATTACTCTTGACTATTTTAGCTACTCCATTGCTTTTACAATTATTAGAAAACTTTCCGTTTTGGCCTTAAAAACGTAGAAATTGGCACTGCTAATCTTCTGCCAATCAAATAGGGGCTTGAAAAATAAAATGGTCAGGAACTCCTAAGCCCATTTATGTGTGAAACTTTAGCGCACATAAAAAGGATATTAAAAAAGTCCTTACGGTGGTGACGTAACCCTTTAAGCGCTACCCATAGTCGCTTACCGTTGAGAGCTGCTTGCTCTCGCCCATTAAGATCCGAATCCCATGACTTGGCACTCCGTGTGAGCTCTGCCAACATGTCGAGCAGGATAGAAGGAAAGACAATCCTGGTGGATGCATTTGGGGGATAGCAAGCGTGGCTCCAGGATAATGGTTGCTGCCTTAGCTGCACTTTGTTTGCTCCTGTCACACACTTTCAATGCGTGAACACGCATCTGGAGAGCAAAAATTTCTAGATAAATAAATGCGCGTCTTGGGGCTATATAGGTATTATAAATATATATAGAGACGTGTGTATATATCCAAGAAAAAACATAGATAAGGCCACGCCCACACGAAACGAGAAGCTCGAGTGGCAACAAGTGTAAGTGGGCTGATCGGCCAAGTGCAGATAACAAGTCAAGTGGGCCGAAAGACCGAGAGAGCAGGTGCTAGTCAAGGTGCTGCTGTTTGAAGTGCCAAGACACAGAGAAAAATCTTGAATTTCCTAAATGTTTTTACAAGAGAAAAATTGGAAAGTGGCCTGGAGTTTTCTTAAATAAATATATATTATTTAATTTTAGTAAAAACACCTCAAGTTCAATAGTTTAAAATCGATTTGCCAGGTAGTATTTACTCATAATATTTTCCCCTGTTTATGTACTGTACTGAGTGTTCGCTGATGTGTGTGTGTTTGGTGTGTGTGGCACCTGAAGAAACTCGTCTCCAGATTGTGCAGGAAATCAAGCAGAATGAGAAACCAATTTGTGTGGAAAACACAAAGGCAACAACAACAACCGCAGCAACGAAATTAAATTGGCCAAAGGGTTTAACTTTTCCCGAAAAAAATAAAAAGTCCGCGCATTTTGAAGGTGAAGTCAGTGGAAAACACAGCTAAAAGCAGTGAAAACTTTTCCTATAAGTCGCTGGCAAGTCAATGGCAATAAATTTCATGGGTAACTTTCCTTTTTTTCGGTTGAGAAGGAATTTTAATTCAATTCAAGGGAAAGGGTCGAGAACATAACTAAGACTTAACCACTAAGAGGCACCTTAGAATTGTTTAAACAGAAAAATAGTTAAAGTTCGAGGCCCAGAATCTCTACTCAAACACACACACAAATGAAGCCCCAAAGCCAGAGGGGGAAAAGGAAAGCCCGGTGTCTAAAAATGTGTGCGTGCTTGGTGTGTGCCTGGCCTGGCCAACAGTATGGCCACTAAACGTGGCCGACTGCGGCCGAGAGTGCGACGCAGTGGAAATGCACTCGAATAAACACACAATTTATATGAACACATGCAAGACAGATTAGGGTTGGTTGGAGGGAAAGTGGTCCTGGGGTGGACATCCAAATTCCCCCCAGAATCCCTCCGGCTTCAGCCTTAGCCCGGCTCTGTGTGGACTCTTTTGTGGACTCCGGGACTGGGGCAAACAAAAGCAATTTTTGCGTTTTATAAATTCCTTTGGTTCATGGCTTTAGCCTGCTTTATGGCATACTTCCATTTATGCCGCACGAAAGTGAGCAAACATTGTGGCACCAGGAGAAACATTTCAGTTTTCCATCTAAGCAAAACATTTAGCATAGCATACTTTTGCGAGCATTGTCAAAGTTCGGTTCGGAGCAGGAAACTTTTTTGATTTTTACAAAATTGCAACCTTACGGGAGAGGAGACCCATCACAGGAGACAAACGGAGGCATGGGAAATGAAAGCAAAACAGACACAAACCGAAATTTCCATCTCATCAGAATGGACAGCCTGCCTCCGATTTTTCGGTCGCATAAAACTCAATTGAGTCGTTAAATGTACAAAAATGTGATAAATAATCAAATTACATGCATTTAATGTCACGGTCCCAGATTTGTGGGCTTTAATATTTTTTACGATGCTTTTTCGCTTCTGCGTGTTTTTCGCGTTTTTCAGCTTTTCCGGCTCATGCATCATTTATGGCGCCATCGCTGATTATACGCCTTGCATCTCTAATGCCTAGTGGATTTGCCATTTTTCAATTATAGCGTGAAAAGTGGAAAGTGGCCTTTTCGTTGCCTTTGTCCATCTAACATCTAACCGGCAATGAAGGCGAATTTTCGTGTGCGTGAGTTCTCGTTTTAAATTTCCAATTAGATCCCCGAACGCAAACTAATTTCATGCAAATTGCCGGTGGAACGGGCTTTTCTTTTGTGCGTTGCGAATTTTTTGCTGTCCGAAAAATATGCGTTGGGTAGTTGGGAAAACTATAAGGTGTTTTGGCATGGGTATATTGGGAAATAATGGAAAATATAGGAAATTAAATGGGGATAATCTAATGTGTAAATATAGATTTTTTCTTTACCTATTCAAGATTTAATTTTATAATATTTTAAAAGCAATAGAACGGTTAAAAGAGTGTTTTGTTTTACTTAATAATTATATGTAGAATTTATTATATTATTTTCTGTATTTATAAGTGGAATAAACTAATTTCAGGCAATTTGCTGAGTATTTGATGATCGGTACTGTCCACAAACTTATTTCCCCCAAATTTTCTTTAGTCATAAAACCACAAAAAGAAAAGTTTTTAGCAAAATATTCGCAATAAAGATCATCTGAATAAGCAGCAAAGTTGGGTATTTAGTGGTCGGTGCTGTCGACTTCAAACTCATTAGTATTTTCAGTGAAAATTGCCGACATCGAAAGCGAAGTTTTGGCACATGACTCGCATGGCTTTCACGGGGGAAATTCCAACGTTTTTCCTTACTTTTTTTTTTCGACGCTATAAGAGCTGTCATTTAAACAGATTAATGTGCTGCCATTATTGGCATGTCATGTTCTCATGTCGCTGCTGGGTGTGTCGATGCTATTATGCATTTGATTGGCATTTGTTTGTGCACAGCAATCAAGGGATCTCGTCTAAAACAAAGGCCTGTCAAAAGCGACGCATGCCGGCATCGCGATTAATGCCTTACGTTCCACCTGCCGGGGTCCGGGTGAGTCAACAGGTAAAATGGCAAGAGGTAAATGCAAATGTAGACCATTTTAATTAGCCGTAAGTTGATAGCAGCAAAAAAGGGCCTCTGTTGACAGCTCTTTGATGCGCTTGACACTGGCCAGCTGCTGGTCGATACCCCTGGATTCCATTTCCCTGACACTTTGATACCCTGCTCCATGTTCTCTGTTGTTTCCCTGACAAAGTCCAGGCGGAGTACGTCAGCATCATGGCGATTGCGATGGGAGATGAACATTAAAAGCCGGCGGAATGGGTGGCAGTCACAATCTTGGCGACACTGTCAGTGCCATGTCAAGGGGCCATTTGATATGCCACTGACAGTTAGCACATTTGGCGCATTTTTTCCCCCAGGCACTCGATTTTTTCTCTCTATTTATTTATATTCTTTTTTTTTTGGCTTTTTATACAGCCCTGACAGTGAACAAAGTGCCGATCCACCGCTGACAGCTTACAACATTTGAGTGTCTATTTTTGGGCGGCATTTAGTCAAAAACTGTTTGATCAAAGGTAGAAACACTTAAAGTCTGGGGCTATTGTGAGTGTTTTGCACTTGAAGAATATCTATGGAAACTGAGGTACAATGTAAGCAAGAGAACAACAAATATAAAGACTAAAGAATTTCTTTAAAGAAATAAATAATTTACGGAAATATTATTGGTTTTGTATCGAATTTTAAGGATTACTAAATTGTAAAATAATATTTGTTATTGCTGAGTAGTTAAAAAAATATAACAAAATAATGCAATTCTTAATAAATTAATAAGAGAAGCATTTGATTAAATTAATCATTGACTATGTCATATAAGATTGCATCTAAAGTACGAAATATAATAAAATTTAATGCAAATTATATAAATAAAATTTTAAAATTGCAAAATATAATAAATAAGATTTGTTAAAATGCAAAATATCATTAGTAAGACATTCAAAGGCTTAAAATATAATTAAAAATATTTTTTTTTCTTTTTAAGTCGAAGCATTATTTATTTATTTCTTAGTAAAAGCTCTTAATATCTATAAATGTCAGTTTAAAATTTGTAAAATAACAATAATTTCAGCTAAGACATAACAAATCAAATAAATAAAATTCGAAACTATATTAAATAGAACAAAATCCAGATAAAACCAAAAATTATGTATGATTTCGTTGAGTGTGCATAATGATCTCTATTTGCTCTTAGCCTAAACATACACGTACAAACTTATCGGCTAAGTACGGAGGGATATATGTTGTATATATACATATATCCCATGGGTTAATGCCAATCAATCGTCGCCACAGCGAGATTCACAGCTTTCCTGTGTGCAGAATCGGTTCCGATTGCCATTGCAACCCTTGTAGTTGAAGGGTTTGCACAGACCCTTGTCATAGTACCAACGGGTGACTGCCTTGGTCTGGTCCTTGCTGTTGCAAAAGTTGCCCTCGTTGCGGCCCACATAGCAGTTGACATTGTCTGGAAGAAATAAATTATATATAATATATATATTCCGAGATTAATCGCTGCCTGGAATGGTACATTTCCGTAGAGATCGCTTCGACTGGCCTCATTAAGTGCAATTACATTTTGTTTGTTTATATGGGCCTCGAGCCATGCGACAGATATTTCATAATTTCCCGCTGGCCACGCTGCTGTAGTCATAAGCGGGAAAATAGAACAATTTCCCAGACAAAAAATAAAAGAAAGACAAGCGGGAAAAACTTGGCAAGTACTAAGATATCTCATTATTAAATATGCCGAATGCTATAATTGCTATTTACCTTAGCCATAAATTAACAAAGTAATGTGACAGATTATATGGAATTTAAGTAAGATTTCTTTGAAATACAAAGCTTAAATTTTGTTTATAAAATGCGGGAGATTTTAATAAACATTTTTTCATTGAAGAAAATTTGATTATCATTAAAAATTTACAAATCAAAAATGTATGGAAATGAGGTTTCTTTAATTTATATTTATTTCCCTAAACTTTAAGTTTAACTTGAATATTTAATCTAAAATTTATCCAGCTTTGCAATTACAAATTGCACTTTAATTGAAAAATTGAAATGAGTTTTTTCTGGGAAACTTACTCAGCTCTTTGCATGACGTGGCCCCATTCCCTGAAGAACTGCTGCCTCCACCGCCAAAGGCCTCGATGCCCGTTGCCTGTGTCAATAGGATGATGGACAGGAGGCCGACGAGTGTCGCACAGAGCAACGTCAGATTGATTTTCAATTTCATGTTTTTCGCGCGGCGGACAGAAGCGGAATGAGGAACAGATGCGATGCGATGAGATGCGATGCGAACGGAGAATGCTGCCACAGCCGCCGCTGCCGAGTCGGGAGAATCTGTCTGTACTGGGGATCGGCTCTGAAAATCTGTTCCAATTTCGGTATTTGGTATTTTTAAGTAATCTGCGCTACTTTCGGTCGGAAAAACGTGCCGCCGCCAATACGAACTCACTCACTCACTCAGTTCAGTATGCGAAATGCCGGAAATTGTTGCTAACTCGAACACGAACAATTCGCGCCACTCGTTCCCATTCGTCAGATAGTTTCTTTCTCTTCGAAAAAATATATATATTTATTGCCAGCTTGACAATCTGGTATGTTATTTCTAATACGCATATCCATCCATTGGTCCATCCCTCCATTCATCCGTCCGTCCAACGTTCAACGGCCCGTGTCCATCAATGCTAAGTAGGAGAAGATATTTTTGGTCAACAAAATGTTTGACGCTCCCCGACGAGCGACGAACGACGGAACGAAATTGCACTTAGTTTTATCTTTGGGGCGTTTACTTTGCGCTCGTTTGCATAATTTCCAACTTATTGAATATTTTCCACATAATTAATTTTAATTATTTGTGTTTCTTTCAGGCATTTGAATTAATTTAGATAAGAGAGGAGGGTAAAAGAGCCAAAAGGGTCCGGGTCGCGATGTACTGCAGTCACCAGGGATCCCTCTTCCATTGTCTCTAATTACAATGGGCGGCATTTGTTTTGGGCTTTTTCTCCTCTTTCCCTTAAATTGTTTTCTTCTTTTTGCTGTTTTTTTTTGTTGTTGGTTTATTTCATTTTTGGTTTCTTGGCAAGTGGCTTTGGCATCGGCGGCATTCTCGCCTTTTTCGCATTTTTCCTTTTCAGACGGCCTGGTTTTCCCGCTGTTGTTGTTGTTGTTTCTAATGCGGGACGAGCGCAAAAATCAATCTTCATTTAAAATTCAATTTAATGCGCTGCGTGCATAAAAGAAGTTGGGTCCGGTCATCAAGCGTATTGGATTCGCCGGGAGAAAATTAAAAAAGAATTGTTTGTGTATATATTTTGGACGCTGTGACGCATCAAAGAGAATTCGCGAAATGGTGTCGCATGTCGTTGATGGCATTAGACAGCCAGCCTCCCACTCCTTTTCAGGGTTAACAAAAGGAAAAACGGGAAAATCGGGGAAATTCATGGTTGCTAAGAAAAATTAAAAAGTGGAAGTCAAGTAAGCCAATTTAAGGCATTATTAAAATTATTTTTATTGGTTTGGAATTATTAAACTAGGCAATAAAGCGCGAACAAAAAAATCAGAAACCATACCTTGCTACTTGTTTAAAAGTACTTTTTCCCCTTATTTTAATCCTGACTGTTCCAAATTCTATAAAAAAAAACCCTTTTCGAAACCCAGTGATGGGGAAGAAATCATGAAAATTACAGCAAACGGAAGACTGAAACTTCGCAGAGGATGTGTTCGAAACACAAATCGGAAGTCTTAACTAAAAACGGTGGCAGGTATACAAGGCCAGTCAAGTGGAAGAGCTGATGAAGTCGCCGTCGACGTGGCACACTCCAGATTAGGCCACACTGCGTATACGTGATATATCAACGCAGAGGGAAATCAATACTCAAATGTGTGGCCTCCTAATCAATCGGGATCGGGATGTCAACCCAAAAAATAAACGGAGATTAAAAAAGCAATGCCAGGATACGAAAAAATACAAAAAAACCCCTGCGCTTCAACGACTTTATGCTCTTGGCCACGTTTCGCCTGTTTCGACCACAATTTGTGATTTTGTTTTTTGTGTTCCCCACTTGTTTTGACCAATTTGGCGATTTTGTGATTTGTCGTCTTTAATTTCCACACAATTTTTGGACGCACTCAAGTAAAAATTATTTAATGACTGCACTTGAACGTGCCGAAGGACAAAGCCAGGCGAAAGAAATGGATAGAATCCGTAGGAAGAGGGCCACCATGATGCTGCAATACGAAATTGAGTGAAAAACGCTGACGATTCTCGTATATTGAGAATATTCTTTGCATAGATTTTACCTTTTGTTGATGCACCTGCCTTCCCTTCGCTTTTTGCGCTACTTTGGAATTATATTATTTTTTTTTTTGCTCAATCCGCTTTCCGTCTCTTTGGCCCGAAGGAAAAAAGATTTTCCCTCTGCTTTGGCCAACCTCAAATTGAGGAAATGAAACATTTCAATGATTTGCTTCCGGCTTTTCCTTTTGCGCCACCCTTCGTGCAGCGATTCATAAACAAAAAGAAAAGGGAAAGAGTTTTGTTTATTACCTTTAAGGCGCTTTGCCCAACTTCTTGACCGTCATACAAAAAGTTCAACTTTAATAAATTATTCAAATTACAACTTTGATCCTGCAGCAAGAAATGCACAAAAGAGCTTGGGGAAATATTATTATTGGTTTCTATGGCACACGGACAACAAATTTGAGCACAGTTTTAGTTTGATATCCTCGGGGAATGCGGGTATTGTGGTTATAGTCGAAATTATTGAGATTATTTGAGACTATTTTATACATTTAAATAAAGATTCTGATGTTTTTCATTCTTTGATATCAAAGAATTCTAGTTTAGAGATATAACGTTATCGATATCTGCTTGATATCGTCGGTAAAAATATATATTCCAACTTATTTATTAGGTTTTGAGGCTATGTAAAATATTTTTCTTATGTAATTTAGTTCTTAAATATTAAGAATTGATAAAGAAGGCTTAATTTGATAATAAAATTTGATGTGTATTAGTTTCTCTGCAACACAGACAACCGTTTCAGCACAGTTTCAAGTCGAAATCCTTGGGAAAAGTTGGTACTTTAGTTTTATTCAACATTATTTATAAGGTTTTGGGGCTTTCTTTAAGCAATAAATGATTTTTCGTATGTTGTGCCACTATTTAATGTCGAAAATCTTTAAATAAGAATTAGAATAAAACTTAAACCTAATTTTTAGAAGCAAAATAAATAAAGATATCCTTGAAATATACATTGCCTGCAGCAATAATTTAAAATATTTTGATTTAGAAAATAGAGAAAGCTAGCCTCAAGCCTGTACATATATTTTTTAATAAACATTTTCTTTATGTGCATTGATCTAAAATGGCATGAGTAGCAATTTCGTGCAGTGACATTGAACATTTTGCGAGACATTTTGCCCAACAATGGGTTGCTGGGACTATGACGATGGCCATCGCTTTCACTGGCTGCGTTCTGTTTTTTTAGTTAACAATTTCGCAATTTGCAATAAAAATTCCAGTTTTGCTTTTCGGAATTCAGTTCTCCAGGCTAAGCTACCACCAACCAGCAACGGCACAGCTTAGCTCAGCTCCGGCACAGGCTTGTGGCCTTGCGGCTTTTCCGGCAAAAGGAGGATGGCGAAAGGATACGGGTTACGCAGCATCCCAAGCGAGCTGCCCGAGCTATCAACCGGCAATTATTATGCGTCCTGAACTGCACGTGCCCCATATAATGTGAGTGTGTGTGTATGTGTTAGGGTTTGGGTGTTGGGTGTTGGGTTGTGGTGGCTGCTGGGGCGTGCCGACAATAATTTAATATCAAAACATATTTTACTTGCATGCCGAAGGAGCTGAGGAATGCGCTCAAAAGCTTAAGAGAAGCAAGCAAGTCGAATGGAGGCGATGAAGCGTTCATCTTGTCCTTGTACCACTATAAGTTCGCCTTCCTTCTCTTCCTCTCTGTCGCATTTTGGAGGCCTCCCTCTGGGCATATCGTAATTATTTTAAAGCCACCGACGAGGCGCCTTGACAATTCCCAAAAAATATTTCAGCCTCAGCCACAAAAATGCGTTGTCCTCTTATGTGAAGTTATGGCATGGCAGGCTGCAGTCACTGCTCGTTTATGCAGTGAGAAAAATATATTAAACAAATATATACATTTTAAAATACAAAATTTATATTTCCAAAATGAAAAGATATTTATTTTAGGCCTTAAAACAAGGTATAAATTATTTAAAATATATTTTGGGAGAGAATTTCACCAATTGAGAACTTCCTTAAGTAAAACTCCTTCAAGTGTAAGGATGGAGAGCATCCGCATGGGGATGGGCATAAGGATAAGCAACGGCGTTGTTGATTTCGCTCATTTCCGACTCAAATGGATTTTGATTGTCTGCCGCCTTGGCCTCCTTGGACTTGGACTTGGTCCTGGAGTTTGGTTTCCTTGGGATCCGTGATGTCCGCTACGTGTCTGCCATTTGTCTGCGCCTTCATTTTGGCCAAGACTCAGGCTTTCGGGGGGCAGCCAAATGACTTTCTTTTCTTGGCCATTGCCTCGTTTGGCTGTTGCTTTGGGCCCATTTAGTTTTATTGTAATGATTTCTATTACCACACGCCATAGTTTGCTGCAGCTGCAGTTGCCAACACCCAGCTCCCAATGGACTGTTGTCCGTTTACGTGGCCATCGCGCTTAATGAGTAGTTATTTCCGCTTGTATTTCTTGATCAAGTCGTGCATGGTGCGGCTTTCTCGGCAGTTAAAGCTAATGCCGGGACACGTTCGCTATTAATTGCCGCCTCTTCTAGGGCCAACATTGTTGTTTCATTAACCTGAACGATCACTAATTGAATTTATGTCATAATTTCTAGCGTTTTTGTTGTTGATGAATTTATGCCATAAGATACGTATTTTTTTTTAGCTCAAAGCTTTGTAATATATTTATGGCATTCATTTCTGCTGATGCTGTCACAACAATAGATAGTAAAACACAGCAAAAAGTGTTAATTTCGCCTTCGTCTCTCTGTAAGCCTTGCGCTTTTCAAAATGAAAAAGCATAATTAATTTTAATGCGCTTTTCCGCTGCTTTGTTTTTTCTTGCTTATCATTACCATCAACGGGGATGGGCTTCATTATGCAGATGATGCAGTTTTAGCCAAGGACAAGGACTGAATCCCCGTTTTTTAGGGTTTTCTCTCTACTCCAGAGGAACGTCCATGACCAATTCCAGAAGCAATCCAAATGAACCAACTGGCGTGTGTGCTTTCCTGATGATTATCAATTTGCGAAATTCGTTTTGCTGTGCAAAATTGTTTACCCTACCCAAT